AGACAGAGAGAGACATAGAGACAGAAAGCGAGAAATCACCCCCCAGGGGGGATGGTCACACTGCAATCCCTTCTCCTCCATTCTCCTCTCGGGATCTTGGGCACACACGCACACGCGCCCGGCGTGAGTTTTAAGCCACCGGGTCCAGGACGTGAACCGCAGTCAACTACGTAGGAGTCCAGCGACATAGCCATTACGCTAACTGCTGGTTCCCTACCAGCTTACTTTGAGTTAGATATTTTCAGCTTTTTGTTCTTTAGACAAAAAAAATTATAGGCCAGCCAGTGGTGTAGTGGTTAAGGCGGCTGGATCCCACATAGCCAGCTGTGCCATTTGAGTCCCAGACAAGGTCACTTAAAAAACACGCCAGGCACATGTGCATGTGTGCCCAGAGTCTCAAGAGGAGAATGGAGGAGAAAGGGTTGCTGAATGGTCATCCCTCCAGAAGGTGATTCTTCACATTCTGTCTCTCTCTGTCTTTCTGGTGAGCACACATGCCCTATAGCAAAACTAAAAAACAAAAATTCTTAAAACAATCTGTGGAAATGTAACACTATATATACCTCTGTATGCATACACACTCATCCATACACAAAAGAAATAAGAGAAATGCTCTAGCTCAAGATGGGACAAGAAGCCTAGAGCCTTTGTCCCACTGCTCTGAGAAATTTTAAATCCTCTACTATAAATTATCAGGGTGTCCAGCACTGAGGGAATGAGACTTTGCCATCTGTAATTGAATATATAATGCTTTTACTACTGTAATGGCTTGACTGAAGCTATACTTCATAAGATGTTCGAATCCAAAATACCAGAATTATGTACAAAGTATACAGCCAATTAGCATTATGGCAAAACCTCATTATTCAGTAAGTTATGATTCCCTAACGGTTTCAGTCTTTTAAACAAGTTGTGTAAAATCAACACTTTCTCTAAGTATAATTAATAAAGCCACTAGTTCTCAACTGGATGTATAATTCTTCAAAAACTAGGTATTACCCTCGCCATCGTAATTTATCCTCATCGATATCTACCCCAACAAGCAGTTCAATGCATGGGTAGACTTTTAGCTGCCTTATAAGTGAAGTGTCACCACACCCAAGGTCTGCAACCTGTAGATGAGACAGAATGTTATTTCAAAGATGCCAGAGAAATATGATCAAAACCTTCTGCTTGAAGTGGAGAGGAAGGACTATCTATTGGTAATGAAGCCATGACAAAAGTCATTATATGGAAGGAGCCATATGGTAGAATAGTATACACACACACAAATATATTAATTCAGCACTTTTTAAGGCTGTGGACGAATAAGAATTTCTATTTGATGAAAGTGAAATACAAAGTCATGTCTGTTGGAGAAGGGACTGTCGTATAATCATTCCTTCATGGGGTCAGGGTGCTTCCTTCCTTCCTTTCTCTCACTGTCTCTCTCTGAAGAGTGCATATAAGCACTTGTCTTCTAGCAAATTAAAAATTAATTAATTAATTTTAAAAAAGAAAGAAAGAAAGAAAAGGAAGAGCCACTCCTAGTCCAGAACAATTGCTGTCGTCTATAGTGGACTGATGAGAAATGATTAAGTATGCACTTGGTTTTCCTATTAGAAAGCAGATTTGGAGTCTAAAATATTCTCAGTAACATGTTTCAGCAAACAAAGCTAAAACTTTGCTTTTGTTCATTCTGCACACATGGACAATAGTCTCATTCAGTCTCTTGTTTGATAAAACACTTACATCAAGCCATATGAAACTCCATATTGAACTCAGAGCTGCCAAAAAGGCCATTTTCAGTGTTTCAACAGAATACGTGGACATACGTGGTTACAAAGATGTAAACAAAGACTTACAACTCTGTGTGCAAGCAAGTAAACAGCAGCAGTGCCGTGAAAGTAAGGAAACCTTTACACTGAGGATCTTTTTTTGTAATTGCCAGAGGCCACATGCACTTACCAGAGACAGAGGGACAAAAAGGAAGAAAGCACCCTCCAGTGGAGTGTGGTCAAACCACAATCCTTCTCCATTGCCCTGTGATGTTGGGATTTGTGGAACACACATGTTCCAAGCCTTTGAAGCCAGGATTTGAACAGGGTTAGCCATGTAGGTCCTGACTCCCTTAACCACTAAGTCACGGGACTGCCCTCCACAGAGCATCTTAATTTAGTCTTTAACATCAATCAGAAAAAGAAACTTTCATCTAGAAATGCTCCTTATCAGCACCTACTCTGCATCAAAACATCCAATCCAAGAATACAGTAACCAGCTATGTATGTGCAAGGGAGCTTCACAGAGTTCACAGAGGGGCCAGATGATGGTGTAGCAGTAACACAACTGGCCCCACGTGGAAAAGGTCTTGAGTTCATGTTCCAGAAATGTACCTGAGCAATCCGGGTGCTCACTCATGCTCACACTCCAGGCCAGCTGAGACGGGATGGACCATGGTGGACCTGCCTCTCCCTTTCTCTGTCTCATGGAAGAAATAAACTAAAAAACAAGTTTATGAGGCCAGAGCATCGCCTTTTGGTTAAGGGAGCCAGCTCTTGCATGACCAACTATGTGGTTCAAATCCTGGACCCTGGACTTAAAAAGCATTCCAGACAAACATATGTGTATACATACCCACAATCTTTTTTTTTTTTTTTTTTTTATTATCATCATAATCTTCTTTATATTACATTGGATTACATATAACTTTACATTGACTTCCAGAAATCACCACCCCCCCAGGGGAGATGGCCGCTCCACAATTCCTTCTCCTCCATTCTCCTCTTGGGATCTTGGGCATGCACGCACACGTACCCAGCATGAGTTTAAGCCACCAGGTCCAGGACTCAAACCATGGTCTATTCATGGGAGTCCAGCGACATAGCCATTATGCCAACTGCTAGTCCCACATACCCACAATTCTAACAGGGTAGAAAAATGGAGGTTATGGGATTGTGGCATGATCGCATTGAGGGGTGTTTTCTTCTCTCGCCCTGTCTCTCCTCTCCTCTCTCTCTCTCTCTCTCTCTCTCTCTCTCTCTGGTGAGCACACATACTCTATAGCAAAAGAAAAAAAAAAGGTCATAGAAAATGTGTTATGAAAAAAACTACGCAAAATTTCAAAAATTTTTGCACCAAAGTTAAGTCATACTTTAATTCCATTTTTCTACTTTTTAACATCCCGTCACATGTATTGTGTGAAATCATGACTTTCCTGTGAAATGAGCCCATTGTCATCTAAAGTATAAAAAGAACCACAAACCTGTGACCACAATACCAGTTTGTTCTGATGATAAATTCTCTAGGAAAGTAGAATGTGTGGGGCCAGCAAGTGGCATGGAGGTTAAGGCAGTTGGATCCCACATGACTAAACTCTACTGTTGAAGACCTGGTCATGGTGGCTTGAAAATCATACTGGGTGTGTATGTGTGTGTGCCCAAAATCCGAAGAAGAAAATGGAGGAGAATTGCAGCATGGCCACCTCATCTTGGGGATGATTTCTCACTTTCTCTCTCTCTCCAGGGAGCACACGTGCCTTATAGCAACAACTTTAAAATGGAAAGAAAAAAATTTAAAAAAAAGGAAAACCTCTAAGATCATATTCATCTGCAAGATCTCAAGATTTTTTTCACATTTGAACCTGGCAATGCTGAATTCTACCTGAGCCCTGCTCTCCTGGTAAATGACTAAGAGAATCCACCCTTGCTTTGTGTTCCTGGAAAGGACTTGCTGTAAAGACCCACCCTCCCCCTAAGACTTAGGTAGGACTCCTTGTATCCCCATTCTTTGCCTCAAATAATCAGCATACCTACTTATCCCCACAGATCAATGGGACAAAATTCCTGCTAATCCTACTTTGGTCAAGCTTTCCTTCTTTCCCCAGCCAAGGAAACAAACAGCTGTCCCTTAAGGATCCTTTCCTGTTTTAGGCTGGCCTCATTCCACTACCCTTCTATAAGGACCTTCCATTTAACTTTCCCACTTTCTAGCTTTGTTTACTTGTCGGTAAAAGGAAAACTGAGCCAGCTCCATGGCACAGTGGTAATGCACTGATCAAGAGAAGTCAGATCCCACCTTGCTACTGTGGTTAGAATCCCCAGCCCAGGCAGCCTGAGACACACCTGCCACATGTGCGAGTGCTCAAGAGCTGACAGGTTGGAGGACTGAAGGAAAGGGACTGCAGTGTGGCCAGACTATGTAGAGGGTGCTCATCTTTCTCTCTCTCTCTCTCTCTCTCACACACACACCATCTGGTTAATTTTTTTTTTGCTTAATTCTTGAAACACTTTTTGCTTAATTCTTGAAACACTTGGGGATGGGCCAGCAGGATGGCGGTTAAGGCACTGGACTCCCATATGGCCAACGATGGTTCGAGTCATGGTTATAGCAAAAACTGGCGGCTTACTTTCTCACTTTTTCTTATTTTCTCTCGCTCTCTGTCTCTCCTTCCCTCCCTCCCTCCCTCTCTCTCTCTCTCTCTACTTCTCTCTCTGGTGGGCACATGTGCCCTATAGCAAATTAAAAAATAATGAGAGACCAACAGATGGCATAGCAGTTACATCACTGGACTCCCACATGGCCCACTGTGCTTCAAGTCCCGGACCTGGTAGCTTGAAAATCATACCAGGTGTGTGTGCATGTGTGTCCAAGATCCCAGAGAATGGAGAAGGGACTGCCGCATGACCAACCATCCTGGGGGTGATTTCTCACTTCCCCTCTTATCGTGTCTCTCTCTCTCCTGTGAACACATGTGTCCTAAGGCAAAAACCTCTAAAAATTAATTAATTAACTAATTAAACAATGATAAATAACATTAAATAAATCTTTTTAAAAATGAAGCCATTTGGGGATCTTACTGTCACAACTTCTTCCTACTGTAATAATGCCTTTGGAAAGTCTGTCCTTACTAGCGTATTTGACAAAATATTTCATAAGACAGTTTTGATAATGAAATGTTTAGAAAGAAAAATACCCACCTTCTTGGGTTCATGCTGATCCACCAAATCTTTAACAAATTGGTACCGCTGTCTGTATAATGGAGGTTTAAACTGAATGACCTTCTCTCTGGGAACTGCCTCAAAATCACCTGTATCACTGCACTAAAAGTTTACAAATAAAAAAGAAGAGTCCTAAATCATGTATGACTTAGGAAATTGAATAAAGACACATGAAAAACTCTATTTCCCCCAATTACTTTGGAGAACACACTGACCTTCAAATCCTCTTCTAGCCTAAGATCAATAGGCAGTGCTGCACTTCCTCCCCAGTGCACCTGAGTCTCCCCTCGTGCCTTTTAATAAGTGAGACTGGCTGCACGCGTTCTGCCGCTTAGCTGCAGTGAAGGAAGCCTTACTCATGACTGCATTTAATAGAAACGATGAGAAGCCTTGTAACCACAAGGGTCCTCTTGTGGTGTGGCCCAGGTAGGCAGGCGTCAGAAAAATGTTTGCAATGACTGACAAGAGACAGTGTCTTCCTTCGCCTGCCTGAATTCTTCTCGGTTTGAAAACTAATCCATAACAGCTGTTCCCGCTGTTCGTATATCCAGTATTAAAAGGAGTAGGTCAAAAGAAAAAAAAGGGCAGGGGGGAGATAATACAAAACTTTCTGTAGCCCATTTTATTAAAGCCCATTTTAAATTAATTGTAATATTTAACCCACTAGATCCAGAACACCATTTCAACATGAAATCTGTAAGGCATTGTAAGTCTTTAAATCTTCAAAATTTAGTGTGCTATTTTTTTTTATTATTTTATTTAACTTACTTTACTTAGTTTAATTTGACCAGAGAAGAACAGAGTGAGAGAGAGAGAGAGAGAAAGAGAGGGAAAGTGAAAAAGCAAACCGCCAAGTCCGGGACTCAAACTAGGGTCAGCCATGTGGGAGTCCAGTGCCTTTAACCATGCCACCTGCTGGCCCCTAAATATTTTATACTTATATGTCTCAGTTCTGAAATGTTCATCAGAAAATTTGGATTTGAAATACAAATTGGATTTGAAAAGAATTTACATTTAAAATAGATATTTTTATACATGTACTAGGAATCCATACAGTCTTGTCCATGCAAAGACAACAAGAGACTAGCAGTTATGTGAAGATTCAAAGTTTCAGGAATTTATATAACTCATATATTTTTCCTGATTAATCTACTTGAGTATATAATTTTGTGCAATGAAAATGAAATACAACCTTCAAAAAAATGTACATTCTCATACCTGTTATTCTAAACATACATTTTTTTCCAATAATGAAATCAAATATCCATTTTTAAACTTAAAATTGGAAAGTTTAGGGGCTAGCAGGTGGCATGGGGGTTAAAGGTGTTGGACTCCCACATGGCCAACAGACCACAGTTTGAGTCCCAGACCTGGAGGCTTGCTTTCGCTCTCTCTCTTTCTCATTCTCACTCTGTCCCTCTCTGGTCAAATTAAAATAAATGAATAAATAAAATAAATAACTTTTAAAAACTGAGAAAGTTTCGTTTGTTCCTTAGTGACACTAGCCACATTTCAAGTACCAATTACAATGTATACCTACTCAGATGGCAGGGATCTACAGCCTCTATATTTCAAAGACAGTTGCCATGCCAGTCACATCTTCAACCGGACATTTTATGCAAACAAAATCTCGAGATTCACCTAAGATCTCCTCAATCAGAACTGCAGTTTAACAAAATCCCCACGTGATTCAGACTCATACTTAAAGAGACATTACTCAGATGTTTTTATAATAAATTTTGCCACTTAAAGTAACAACTGTTGATAAAAGTAGAAACACTTCTTTTATGTTATATATACCAAATGTGGAGATTTCATCTACATACATGTATCTTTGCTCAATTCACCCAACACCCCAGGAAACGAGCTAAATATAATTGATGGATTTTGCTTTTAAGTACCTCACAGAACATCGTGTGATTACTAGACTCGTACAAGACTCGTACAAGCGGTTAAGAGGGTGGTGATAGGTGATACCTGTATATTTTCTTCCATTTTGTTTCCAAATTTCTTTGAAGTAAAATGCAGATGTATCCTTCAGGTTCTGTATGAAAAAAAAAAATCAGCAACGACTCTGCTATAAATACCAAATATTTGTTTTTTATAAAGATGTGCCTGGAGGAAATGGCTGCTTAGATCAGCACAGACCGGGGGCAGCCCCCTTTCTCCTTTCCCTTCTTCACATGTTATCATTTAATCCACAAACTCTATCCCGTATTGTCTCAGATATGAGCAAACGGGCTCGGAAAGCGTATTTTTTCACTTCGTCACACCCAGCTAAATGCAATAACCCCCATCCTTTCCTATTAGTTCAAGTTGATAGAAACTCAACAATCTTGAGTTCACTGCGAAGACGCTCAACCTTATCCAATTACTTTCGATAACTTTTTCACACATCGTGTAAATTAAATTTCAAGGCGCTCTCAGTACTGGAGAAGCTGAAGCTGCTGCAACATCTACCCAGTTCACTCACGGACTCGAGTGTACACGTTGGCTCTCCGTTGCACACTCGACTCCATCCGCTAACACTCGGCCTGGAGTTTAGGCAGCAAGACCATCACCCAGCTTGTGAGGAACTCCCTAACTCGCATTATGAACCCTGCGAGTGTGAGCTAACGTGTCTGTCGCCACAGAGCATCGGGCGTCGCACTTACGCCGCGGCAGAGCTCGGAAGGGCCCGGTTCCTGGAGCCCCGCCCCGACGCCCGCGCACGCGCCCTGCCGCCCGGCCTCACCCGAGAACCCGGGCCGCACCTGCGCCGCCCGCGCCTGCGACGGCGAGCGCCCGCG